ATTATTTCGCATGGATAATTATCGCCAACACCAGCACCAACACCACCATTATCATCTTCTTCATAATATTGATACTCCGCATATTTATTTTTATTATTTTCCATTATTTTATTTTTAAATTTTTTTGTACCACAAAAAACATTTTCATATATAATTGGCCAGACAATAATAATAATTAGTATTAGTCGACTAAATAATCGACTAAATTAGTCAACTATTAGTTGTTTAAAAAAAAAGTTAGTTGACTAAATTAGTTGACTATTTTAGTCGATTCCAACCTCTAAAGCTCTGAATGGAACAGTCTCTGACAGGTTAATTAATCTGAACTAACCTGAAAATTTCAGGGTCTGATATTACATTTTGTGCTAAGAAGGTAAGTCCTAACAAATATGCATATGAAATCTATATTTCTATTAATCTTTCATTTATTTGGGATAATAAGAAAATTTTGCAATTTATGTAGATTTGGTGAATTTCATGGTGATTTTTTGTGTTTATTAAAGTAAAATTAAGGTTTGCTTGCCTAAATTTATTAGTCAAAAATAAATAAATGCAAAACAATTATACTGGCTACTATACACATTGTTGTCAAAATTAAAGATGCAATTGTGTTGTGCATAATGCAAAGTGATGCAAAATGTAATTCAAGATGAATAAAAATAAAAACTTATTTACATTTGGAACCCAAGAATTATAGCACCATTAGAAGTATTTTAAAGAAAGAACAAGGAGGAAAAATTGCACCTTATATTTTCAAAATAAATGATACTCAAACAGAAGCTTATCTAAGGAAAGAAATATTACCTATGAAATTTACCAAGAAGAAAGAAAAATAATAAACATTAAAAAAAAAAAGCAGAATGAAGGTGTACTATTATCAACAAAAGGCAGAACCCTTTAGAAGAAAAATAATCCTATTATTGCAGTATTGATCTATCCTTTTACTGATTATTACTACAAAGAAAATTCTCTATGCAAATGTAATTAATAATCATCCATCATTTTGCAGTCAGGGAATATGCTAAATTCGGTATTTCTAATTTATAGGGACATGCTGCAACAAAGTGAATATTTGTATTACCAAGAATTTCGGGGGGGGGTCAAAATTTAGTCATTTGTAATGCAATTTTCATAATATATCTTCTTAATATTAAGTGATATATAGAATTACCTCTAGATAAAAATAGTCTTAGTTAATTCTTATTTTGAAACATCAATAATTTAATAATGTTATCCCTTAAACGAACAGAAATTAGCATAGTGGAACAGGAGGGAACGTCCTATATAAGGAATGGATTTTCACAATTGATTTCAATTTTTTTTATACAGTTTAAAATACTT